TGGAGACTATAAATACAAAGCTAATTGTAGATTTAACCATCCTAAGCTTCAAAGTTCCAAGTCAACGTCATGTGCTCTTAGCAACAAGGGTTTGCCTCTGAGACCTGTAAGTCGTAGGACAAGCAAAATAATGATACAACTTACAAATTCTCCCTTAATAATGTGAGGTCTAAATTATATTCTTTTAAATTAAACATAAACAAGAGGATTTATTGCTTACTTCCTGTAATAATGTCCGCACTTGATTTTTTTTAAGGCTAATGTTCCTCCAGCATTATATGGAGAGTTGTTTTAACTTCCTTTCAAGGATTTCTCTTGAAATGGATTATGTTTGGAATAGATGTGTTTCCATATGTTTATATGAATATGTTATTATTAAGGTATATCCTGTAGTGGTTTTTTCCTCACAAAAAAAAGCATGTTATGTCTTTGTGTTTGTTTCCCTAAAAAATTTTCTAAACTTCTCAATCACTATATGGAATGCAAGTCATGGTTTTCTTTTCTTGTCTTTTTTTTATCTATCTCTTAAAAAGATTTAGCTGACTTTTTCAATATATATTTTTTAGTAGATTATGTTGGACTTGGAGAGATGGCTGTGTTTTTCATTTTCTTTCTTCAAGTGGTTTTCATTAATGGTCACATGTACTTGTGTTTTCTTTCCATGGGAATAGAACATTTATCAAAAGTTTGATTAAACAAGTTGTTGCAAAAGACTCAACCATCCACGTAAACCCTGAAAATATTGAATAGGAGCAACCCCGAAATATGATTGAAGACCAATTTTTTAGATGAATATTACCTTTATTGTTTTTCTTTACACTTGTGAATATTGTCTTCACTGTTTTTCTTTACACCTGAAAATTTTATAGATTCTTGATGCTGGAGTAATATGAACTTTATTGGGAATAAAAGCCGAATTACATGACCTTATTTAGAGTTGCATGTATTTTGGCTTTTGGGTTGGAGTATGTTATTAGAATATAAAGACATCCTCTTTGGAGAAGTTTCTGCTTCATTTTTACGTTTTAGGATCTTCCTGGCCTATTTGATAGCATGACCATTTTATTTCCTTTTTGACCTTATCTTTCATTGGCATTTTGTGTAAATTGCGCAGCTTCATGATCAAGTTGTAAAAAAGTTTAATTGCATACCATCTCCAGGGATCTAGCACATCTAATACTTTCACTTTGGTAAGAACTCAAGTTACGAAGCAAGACACTTTAGCTTACTCGTAAGAATCTTTTCATTTCTGGATTTTGACAACTACTGTACCCAAAAAAAAGTACCCAAAAAAAAAAGAGAAAAGTTTCTTGCTTATGAAATGGGTTGAAAAATAGAAGTGGTAACAGATTTTGTATGAGACTATTAGTAACCAAAAGTGCAGATGTTTGTTGAATTTGTCCTGTCATTATTGGCATCATTCAAGTCTCTTGATTTATTTTTAACTTGGTTATACAGCAGTAAACTAATTTCGATGGATTATATCTTACTTTCTTTCTTGTTATAATACATGGCAGGTTCTCAACAATTTCTTTCAAAAGTTGCTCATTCACTTCTAGAACGAGTACGAATGACAGAAAGTTGTTATTTTTTGTTAAGTTAAAATATGTATTTATCGAAATCATGGAAGTACAAGTTCATGTTTCGAGATTCTACAAGACTAATTTTAATTTTTTATCTATTTATTATGAATTCCTTGACTGTGGACAAGTGTCAAAGTTTTGTTAGACAAATTGTAAATGCAACTTTTTATAGTTTAAAATCTTTTACAATTGCAATAATATATTTTTCCATGGAAAATTTATCTTTAGAGGGCAATAATTAGGTAAGAATAAAATTTCACATTGTGCATTTTTTTATCCTTGGTTGTGTTACAGGCATTTTGTAAAGAGGGCATAACTGGGCATGTAAATTTTAGAACTGTCCACCGCGCAAATGCGCGGTGATCCCCTCCTAGTATTACTAAACGCTCTAAACAGTCATGAAATGGATAGTAGGGACAATAATCCTAATATGTATGGTCATGACAGCCATTATGTTCGGCAGATTGATAGTCATGGTAGCCATTGTGCTTGACCAATTGATTTATTTTATGTTATATGGCCAAGGGTTAATTCATAAAATCTCTTGATCGTCCTCTTAGAGGGCTATCGATTTCCAGATTGAGTACTTAGAAGTTGGATATTGCATGTACTTATTTAGAAGCTATTCTTTATGAAATGAGATGACATGATTGACATGTTTTTTGGTTTGCAAGATTCTTTGAATATGATTATATCATGTTATGTATTTCCATGCTACATTCAGCAGGGACCACCTCTAGAACCTGGGAGACTAAGTGCTATATCAAACAGGGTCCACTTATGTGTATGTCACTCACTCTCAATGAAATATGTATATGTAATATATGGAAAGTTGCCAAATGTTTTTATTTGGGGTGTGTATGTTGTACTGTGTGACTGAATTTACAAATATATATAATATGTATATAGCTATTAATTCGATAAGAGAGTAAATACTATCTACTGGGCATATATACATTGCTCAACCCACATTTTCTTTATTTTTTCTCGTAGATCAAGAAAGCAGAATCATGTACTTTTAGAAGATAAGAGAAAGATAGATAGATAGAAGTTTTCATTCTAGGAGTATAGAGTAAGGGTATTAGCAAATGTATTGGTTTGAATATAATATGTATTTATTTGGTGATTGTAAGTTTTAATTTTAGTGAAATTTTATATGTTATGACCATGATGTCTTGTATTCATGGGACTAAGGCCTCTTGACTAAGGCATGCCATGTTGCAAATTTGGTCTAGGGATTCGGATTTGAGGTGTGACAAAATCCAGTTGACGTTGATAAAAAATTTTGTATTTGTATTTTTGCTCTATAATATATAGTCCCCTAAATTTCAACTAATAATAGTTAATATGCAAATTAAATGTAACTTATTTAGATGTTTTAAACTAAGAACTCTAATATTTCGAAACATTTAAAAGCTAATTAATTTTTTTCTTTTTTTTTCTTTTATTTATGTATCATGCCAGCACTGGTCTCTCATGCTGGTTTGTTTTGCGTAATTGGAATTTATTTTTGTACATTCTCTCAATTATGGTGCAACAGATGTATGTTTTATTCTACCATGTACCTAATTAATTGGTCATAAGTTTTGTCATATTTTCACTTATTATGGTAATTAAATATCCCTTAAAAAAATAAGCAATATGTTGTATTTATAAATCAAGTTGATCGCCCACTAAATATTTTGTATTGCAAATAGGCAATTAATTAACTTTCAAAGAGAATGGATTTTTTAAAGAAAAATTGTTTGATTTACTGAATAAAGTTAGAATGTACATGGACATTGGATGATATACTTTAAAGCTTTATCATTGGAACGTTATCTTTTATTTAAAACATCAAAGAAAATAATTCAAAAAGAAAATTTTGTCCAGAAGACTTTTACATTTGTACAGCTATGTTAAACTTAACCTCACCATTTATTGCAATCACATACTAATTATAACCATTTGAAACTTATGTTTACTAGTAATCCTATAAGAATTTGCGTAGTAGCAGTTAGAGTAAAATCATAGTACAATTATAACTAGCCTATACTATTTCCAACATCTTTTATATGTTATATGTGTATTATCACTTTGCAACTAATTTATCAAGGAGGCTTTTAGGCTAATAAAATTAGAGTTCACCTACAAAAAGTGACTCTAAATCATGACATCATTAAGCAAAAGACACAAACATGGGAATCCCTAAAATAAAAAAAGTGGCTTATCCTTTAGTTTGTTTTTTCGCTAAAATTGTATGATGCTTAGTATATGATTTTCCATAAAATTATTTTCACTGATATATTATTCATTTAGAGATGTATTTTCACAACTTAAATTTACATATACAACAAAATATAACACTATCAAGGGAGAAATTCAAATTAGTTAGTTAATTTGATTTGTTTAATTGTGATTCCTAAAAATTTTTTATTTTGGGTATAATTGGTGTGATAAGCATTTATTATCAAATAAAACTCATTGTTTTGATTTTGCTTAGAAGATCATATCTGATCAAAATTATATCTAATTAGCATTTTAACATTTTGGTTTTCTAGTGATCCTAGAATATATCTTGCATATAATTAATTCAATCTACATTTCTATAATTATTTGATACATAGGTATAGCAAAAAATTATAACTATTTGAATCCAATGGAATTATATTGATCTAAACACCAAATGTTTGTGAAAAAAAATGGAAAGCTAAAACTTTGATCAATGTCAATTTAATTTTGACGATCAGCTAGTATTAATTTGCTTAATTAAACGCGAAACTTTGGCGACCAAAAGAAACATGGTGGGCCAAAATTGCATTTTTCCATTTAGTACGTTTTAAAGTCATTTTTCATTGCCTTCTCTTCTCACCTAGTAAAATTTCAGTATTTTTTTAAATAAAATTTTGACATTTTTGGTTTGAAAAACTTATAAAACTGGCTCCAATGAGAACATTTTAATCTTAATTGGTGAAAATCTTTGCTTTATAAATGCCCAAAAATACCATCACTATGAATATCCAAAAACTTTTAATTAACAATGTTTTAGGTAGAAATCAAAGGGTTGGTATACTACAAAATTTGACTCATTATAACCTCAATGGTCTCTAATTGAAAGAAGGAGAAGGGGTTTTGACATCGTTTTCTAATTGATCTTCATGTTTTCCGAAAAGAAAGAAGAGAATTATGCACTTGCAAGGAAATTGCAATTTTTTCCTACACATTGTAGATACTTAATGTGTGTGTGTGTACATATGCATAGATAAAAGTATAAACACGGACGTATCTAAAATTTGACTGCACAAAAATGTTAAAGTGTCACAAACTGGATTCAGTTGGTAGGGGTCCATTAAAAGTTCAAAATCCCATTACCTCAATTTAATTTTCTAAAGCGAAAGAGCAAATGAAAATATCTTAAATATATGAGATATGTTCATCGGTGCATGGGCTCAAGATAATTGAGATTCTGAAACCACTTGCAGTCTTGAGAGTTTATGAACATTTATGCAGCACCATATCAAGAACTAAAGATTCCTAACAGTTTCCCGCAGCAACCAATATATTGGAAGTGAATCTTCACCGGTGTCCCTGACCTTGCAAACAAAATGTTGTAGTCAGTTACAGGACACAGCCATGTTATCTAGGCATGGATTGTTTGCATCCAGGCAGCACCTTCAATTCCTTGGGAGTTCATCCTACTGGAATAGAAGAAATACATTCCGCTACAATACTCCCAATTCAGTTAAAAATCATGAAATGCAACATTTTTGCCAGTTCCGCATTCCAGAGGAGCCCTTCAGTGCAGAAAATTGTTGCAATATTCACCACTCTACAAAGGGTATAAGAATAACAATTACAAAAATGCGAGGTCAAATCAAAGAGATCAACCATCCTATCAATGAAATGCAAGATACCACTTCAATAGCTATCCTTTCTTATTATTTATAATTTCTTTTTTCCAGTACTTGTAATGTTCCTAGTACTGGATGAATATAACAATAAAACTGCTATCAACTTCCCAACAAACAGAGATCAACCAAGCCTGCATGACATTTAAAACGAACTGTTTGGACTCTAGAATCAGAATAGCATCCTGGTGGATTTACATTGTCTTGGAAAACACCCAAGGATGACTGCATTTCAGCTTGTGCGTTATTTGTAAGTGATGGTTTCTTAATAGGTATATTTTCTGTTTCAATAACTGAAGTAGCTGAAGATGTTTAAAGTAATCCAGCACCTTAGCCAGAAAAAGAAAATTGTCAATTTAACAGAAATGTTTAACTAAAATATTCAGAAGAAAGGCTAATAGTTTAAAACAGGAGGAATAAGTATTTAGTGGTTTGTCACTTTTAATCGTATTTCAGAAAGCATAAAAACCTTGAGTTCACCTGATTATTATTTAAAAAATATGCGGCTGTATGTTATGAAGTTTGAATAAGTGGTCAAAACTTTGGAACACCACATTCTGGAGGTATACAGATCAACTTTGAAAAATAGCCTATGCTCAATGGTAGAAAGTTGTTAGTATATGATCAGGGGATTCGATGTGTGATTTGCTTGCAGGATTTAAAGCATTTGAAGTGAATGATATCATTCCCAAAAAAAAAAGTGAAATCAAGAGTGTGTACGTTCAAGTGCTGTGTATCTTCAGATTCAGAGAGAAATCAGGAAAGGGGGAGCCCTTCTCTGATAGCAAACTGGAGCTCTGTGCAGCCATGGATCCTTTTGGGTTACTTCTGCAAGAAAGTTAAATGATCATGAGAGTACTTCAATCCTAGATCACTGACATGTAAACTGGAAACTTTTACAAAGCAATTGAAGGAAGTACTGTGTATTGTACCTTTGAGGAGCAGATATCATTAGTTTGCATCCAGAAATTTGACAAATCTAAGTATTCAAGTGCAGTGCATACTGTAATTTATGGAACGAATAATAACTCAAGCACAGATATTTGCAATTGAAGTACTGTGTTTTGTACCCCTTTGAGAAGCAGACATCATTAATTTGCATCCACAAATTTGACAAATCTAAACAGTCAAGCACAGTGCATACTATAATTTATGGAACGATTAACACCACAAATTTGATGTTTCTAGTTATTTATAACCCCATTCAACAAGCACGCATGTATCCCCAACATTGAGTTTACTCTGGTGTTAAAAGCTTGGACAGAATACCATGGTGACTTTCTTGATTGGCCTAGAGAATTTAAACATGATAGAAAAGGAATGAAGAATTGATATCACTAAGTCTTTTTAGCACAACTGTGAAGGCTATGAATACTTGCGTTTCAATTAACTTTTCTTTGTGCTTCTTATCAAATTGTGAATTGAATGAAGATCCAGCTAGATCCACAATGACCATTATAACATACAAAACATTGCATAAAATGTTATGTGGAATGCAGTACATGTTGAACAATTTAAGGAATATGTAAGCATTGTCTCAAACCTAAAAAGGAAAAAAAAAAAAACACTTTCTAGGTATGATAAATAACTAGCATTAGCATTGCTCTTTTGCCTCGAACAAGGAATGATGTACTAATCCAATATTTGACAAATGTGCGGTAAAACCTGTAATTCAAAGTTATCCGTAATGTATGCACCAAATAATTTAAGTGCAGTTATCCATCAAGGATATAAAGCATTCCCACTTGCAAATCACTGAAACATTTTGGGGGCAGAGGGAATTTACCTTCAGTTACTGGAGGACAACATTTTGGAGGACGAGTATGTTTATCATGGAATGAGTTCAACACTAACATTTACAAAATATGAACCACCTTCAGCCTATATTCTCTTTCCTCCATTCTAAATGTGGTGTCAGCAATAGAGTGTTTTTGATTTCTTGGGAGGTAAGTAGCCTCTCTTCCTGAAATGGCTGAAGCTGAGAACAGTGACTGGTCCATAGAATTCCAAGAGTGGTATACTGCCTAGAGTGGAAGACACATCATAGTATAACAAAATAGGATTCGTATTGCAATCATGACAAAAGATGCAATATTAGCTGTCTTTTGGCTTTTGAGGCCTCATAGTGTTCTGGAGAATAAAAAAATCTTGAAAAATGAAAAAAAAAAGTACCTTAAATTACTCAATATGGATGATCATGGAGGAGCCCTGACACGGCCAGCGTCTCCGTTACGGGATTAATTCTTCATCGACTATTATGCAGGGGATATGGGCAACCTTGGGCCAGTCTTGTCCTTTCTCCCATTCTAATCTTGGTTTCAGCAGCGGAGAGTCTCTGATTTCTAGTTTGGTTAGGGAGGTGGGCAGTCCCTCTTCTGGCAATGACTGGAGTAGTCTGCACCAAGTGATTCGTAGCCTTTGTAGAGAGGTGAGGTGTTGAAGACCCGAATAGTTTAGCATTTTCAGATTCTGACATCCCCTGAGATCAAGATATTCAAGCGTGCAAGGCAGCAACCAGTCCTCATTTGGAAAAGACTCCACTGCTTCATCATTAACATCAATCCGTAAGCCTCTAAGAGAGGGGAGTCTCAGCAAATCCCACGTTTTTGGGCTTGTCAGGAGCTTTTTGCAGTTGAGGATATAAAGGGATTGTAGGCTGGTAGGCAAACCACCTTTTGGAAAGCACTCAATTTCTGGACAATTGCATAGATCAAGTTTCCGAAGAGATGGAAGAAGTGATTCCATCCTTGCCGGCAGGAACTTGAGCTTCTCGCAATTGACGATTTCTATCTGCCTTAGATTAGGGGCTGGCAATCCTTCCTCTGGAAAAGATATTAGATTATCACAGTCCCAGATCTTTAAGCATTGCAGAGAAGTTAGAGTACTACTTCCATTCCCAATCCTGCATGGAGGAACTGAGAGCACCTCCATACGCTTGCAGTCTTTAATCTGAACATCTTTTAGCGTAGGGAACAAGCCAAGCGAGACAACTTTGAGAGAGTTGCAATTCTTGTATTTCAACTCCTCAAGGAGGGAAACAGGTTGGTAACTTGCGCTTTCTGATTCAAAACCGCCACAACCATTGCATACAAGTTTTTTCAGTGAGGTAGGTAGGTTACCCAAGGGAAACGATATGAGAGACCCACAATCACTAATTTCCAACCTCTCAAGGCAGTCTAACTTGTTCAGTTCTGGGGACAACTCTTTCAAATGCTCCATGCGTGAAATCTTTAATTTACAAAGAGATGAGAGTTGTTGAATGTCACTGTCAAAGATACTCAACCGACCATTAGAGAGCACAAGATTGTCGCATCCAGAAATCTCAAGTTTTTGTAGTGACAAAAGTTGTTTGGGCAATTTTGCATTGAGTTTGGGGCAATCGATTAAATAGAGCTTTTCAAGACTACAAAAAACTTCACATTCTGGAATATCCCATCTCTCCAACTCTTGCATATTCTCAATTTTGAATTTTTGGAGAGATGGAAAAGGTTCGATTTCACAATTGTTACCAAAATACATGTCTTCAGTAAAGGCTGATATATTACTCATTCCAACAATTTCAAGGGATTTCAAGGACTGAATCTGCCCAAGTGCAGGCAAGTGAAAGCAATATGCACAGTTGGACAGACTTAAGGACTCTATACTGCAAAATGAAGGGGTTTCCAGCCATTTAGGAAATCTTGTCCCATGATATCCATTGATTTTCAAATGATTTATACTTGAATGAGGCTCTAGACTCTCAAGCACATCTCTCGCAACTTGTGAATCATTAATATCACCTTTCCACTCTAGAGTTAAATTTTTAAGGTGTTTCTTTCCCTTCATGTTTGCCATTGATGCTTCTCTCCCTCCAGAAACATTTTCCAACCCATAAAGGAGTAACTTACCGCCAAGCATAGGAAGCTTGCCCAGCTCCTTGATTGCTGAACCACAGTCCTTGCCTACCACAAAAGTAGTCAAAACTTGAAGGTTTGTCAATCTACCCATTTGTATTGGCATTTTCTTGAGCGGAGCTCCACTAACATCTAGGTAATACAAATTAATTAACTTCCCCAGATCTTTGGGCAACTCTTCAAGGTTCTTGCAATATGACAACAACAATGTTTGTAGATTGTACAGGGTACATATCCAATCCGGTAGCTTTTCTATGTGTGTATGAGACAGATCTATGATTCGTAGTCGCTTCAAACCACTGATTGAGTATGGCAACTTAATTATACTTCTATTGTACAAAGACAGAACCCTTAAAGACTTGAATGTGGGCAACATATCATGTACAAATTTGTTGCTTATTCTTCCAGTAGCAGATCGATACATACCAACAGGGAGAAATGTTCTTAAATTCTTGGCCTCCCTCAAGAGTTTAAACTTATCAAATGTGTCATATTCACTGGGAAAATATGTGAAGTTACGTACTCTAGCTGTGGTACCATGGCCAGGGTAATGATCTTCCAACCTGAGAGAATATTTTCCTGCAACAAATCTAGCCAAATCATTGATAAGGTCATGCATAGAGAATTTGTCGTTGCTTGGCTGCCACAACAATGACCCCAATCTCAATTCATGCAAGTACTCTTCACCTATGTCTTCAATAGTTTTAAACTCTCTTTGGTGCTCCAGAAGACCATTAGCATGCCATAGCTGAATTATTTCTTTTTTTTTAAACCATAAACCTTTACGGAACACAGAACAATAAGCAAAGCACCTTTTAAGATGGGAAGGAAGGTGCATGTAGCTTAACCTCAATGCTGGCAAGATGCCATTTGGATTTCTTGTCTGGTTCCATATATCATTTCTTAAAATGTCTTCCCACTCCTCAACCATTCCTCTTGAACGCAAAAGACCTGCAATTGTTTTCACAGCCAAAGGCAACCCTTCACACTTGTTCACAATTTTCTTTCCTATCACTTCAAGTTCACGCCAGTTTTCATTGTCTTTATCTCCAAATGCATGTTTCTCAAATAAGGACCAAGAGTCCTCCTCTGATATCAAATCCAAATGATGAATTGACATTAATGCAATTCTGTTATCTCGTGTTGTCACTATGATCTTGCTTCCTTCAGAACCACCTTTGAGCATCATCTTCAATTTATCCCAGTCATCATAGTCACGATTCCAAACATCATCCAGTACAAGAAGAAACCTTTTCTCAGTTAAGCCAAGTTGTAGCTTAAGCTGAAGGGAATTCAAACTCTCACCAGAGTCAGAAAATGAGATCTCGAGCTCCCTAAGGAGTTCCTTCGTTATCCTGGTGGCATCATATGCTTCTGATACACAAACCCATGCCTTGGTAGTGAAATGATTGTTCACCCTCTTATCATTGTAAACCAATTGAGCCAAGGTCGTCTTACCAATCCCACCTTGGCCCACTATTGGAACTACAGTGACACTGTCTCTTTTTTTATCCTCAGACAACAACATTTGGATTATCTTCTCCTTGTCAACATCTCTACCACAAACAGTGTTCTCATCGACCAAAGAAGTCGAAGGCAGTCGACATGATTGTATTTTCGATTCAACAATTTGCAAGCCCAAGGGATTAATTTGCTGTATAAATCCCTCTAGGCTAATCACAACGTTTTCTATCTCAGGCATAATCCTTTTAAAGAACTGATTACTGAAAGATGAAATATAGGTGGAAGCACTAACCAGGAAGCTGGTCGAGCTCTGATACTCAGTTTCTACCTTAACTCTGAGAGCTTCAGTGTTGATCTCATCGAGCAAGTCATCTGCCTGGTAAACGAGTTCATGGAGCTCTTCAAGCCATTCCTTGACAGCTTGGTTGCTTATTTCCTTGTTTTCTGCATCATCAAGCACTGTTCCAACTGCCAGTAAGTTCATCTTGAGCTTCTTGAGGAGTTCATCATCAGCTTTTCGCTTACAAAACAAATTCAGGAACTCTGGTGTAGCCATCCTATCAAACAGCACTTGAAGGAAAGCGGAGAGAAAAGAGCCTCCAACTATGGCAAGAGCCATATCTTGGGGTGGAGGTCCTTGTACCGAAACAAATTCAATCAAGCTAACGAGAGAAAGAGAGCACTACTGCAGCAGACCAGAGTATGGTTGGTTTGGTTTTGTGAAGCCAAGCTCCCAAGAACAGAAAATGATTTCATTTTCACAGGGTGCAAAGTCAACAAAATTGACCTTCGGCGGCAAAAACTTACGTAGCCTAAGTTTAGGGGCCCACACATATATCAAACAGTGCACAATTTGCCACATTTCATGCTAATTTTAAGTCCGCACTTCCCCATTCCTCTCTCCTTGACCAACGCCGCCACCACAACGCCGACATTCCTTTACACTTGGGCCTTCAGCCCTATTACAGCTGAAATCAACTTATGTAAAAAACTGGTAAAGCTAATTAGCTTAGAAATCAATATTTGAATGGCCAAATATTTTTCCAGATTATGGTTTCTTTCTGATTTCCCGACCAAATTCAATCCCACCCTCTTGGTAAGTCTCTAAACCGAAGGGGAGAGAGAGAAAGAGAGGAACTCCAAACGGCCCTGCCAATCTTTGATTTTTTCTCTCTCTTTAATTTCTACCTTGATTTGCTTTCTACCTTCCAATCCTTGTTTGTTTTTCTGCAAAACCTATGGAGCTTAAGAAAATTAAAGCCGTAGCCTTGGGTTTTGTCTTTTATGAGAAAAGCGGATGAAGAAGAAGACGTGGAGGAGAGTGAAGGCGAAGGTGGCTACGAGGCGTTCCGGGGAGATTTAAGCGATGGTGGTGGAGGTGAATGTAAGAACCACAAGGCGATCGATGGTGGTGGTGGGAGAGGAGAGGATAAAGCAGGGCTTCAACCTTAGTAGCAGCGAATGGACGGGACTCTTCTCCATTGCATTGAAGAGAATTTTTCTCCATTGCGCCTCGTACACAAAATTTGATATGAAATTGATCCAGTTTTAACGTAAGATTAATCATTTTGATCTATTTTTTACCGCTCAAATATTTCATGTAAATTAAATGTCAAAATATTTTCAACAAAATATAATTTCTTAATACATCGATTTTAAAATCAAAAGAAAAATTCATGTCATAAATGCATAATTTTATGAATAAATTTTATATATAATGACAGTGTATACAATATCACTATTGGATTCATGATATATGTATAAAAATTGAATTTCAAATTCAAATTTTACATAATTGTCATTCATTCAATACTGACAAGTGTATAAACTATCTAGTAGGAAAGATTAGTCCTAAATTTATAACATTATATAAATTTAGATATCAATAACTAGAGAGAAATCCAATAAAAAGGATGCTTAATTTTATAACATTATATAAATTTATATCTAATAATAAATATATAAAAGGGAGAGTTGGGTAATGAATAGTTCCATTTTGGTCAAGCGGTTATGCTGTAATTCTTGATGAATTTTCGGGCTATTTTCATCAATTGAATCTTTTGTTGGTTTCCAACTGGCACAGTGAAATAAATTTGTTTGCAAAAAATGCACACATAAGTGGATGCAGTGTTTGTCTAGCATGTTCAACAATATATTTTCTGACTGCACAGTTCCCGAAAATTGAGCCAGAGGGAAAAAAATAACAAGTTCAACATTGTTATCATATAAGTAAGTAAAATCGGTTAAGATGCCATAGGTTTCAACTAAAAATGGTTTCTAATTCTATAGCTTTTTCAAACGTACAATTAGAAGGATATATATTAGTCTATATATACATATTTAGTCTATATAATTATTGGAAAAATTTTAATTCTCTTATTTTTATTATTATACTTTTCATTCTATATATATATGCTACAAACATGAGCTTACTTTTGTCTTCTATGTGTGCTAGATTATGAGTCTATTTCCTTTTTAAAAGAATAATTAGTTTGTTATTTTACTAATATATCCATGTTTAGTGTATATATAATTATTATAAAATTTTTAACATATTTGTTTTTTCTAATGGCTCTAAATTGCTGTAAATTGAAAAGCGATGTTGTGTGCTAATCTTTTTTTATTATTTATTTAAACATGTAACATTAATTAGATTATTTCTTACATTTGAAAATTAAAGTACTCTAAATTTGAAAAATAATGTAATAATACATGTCTTTTACTGTGGATTAATGACCTAATATTAATGAAAAAAGAAATAGGCCTATATTTATTGAACTTAGTGAGTAATAGAGATATACATATCTAACACTATAAAAGGGAAAATTGACCTATGCACAGTGTTTTTTTTGTCAAGCGGTTATCCTGTAATTGTTATTGGATGTTATGGCTATTTTCATCAATTGTCTGTTTGTTTGTTAACAGCTGCTATAGTTTTGGTGCATTTATTGGACATGTTGATTGAATTCGTAATTGGTAGTGTAAAAAGTGAAACCTATGAAAGTTGGTTTTTTGTGGTTAATTATTTGCTTTTGAAGTGTTCTGGAAATGCAAAATTACCTAAGAAATAATTGATAAATTATTGCTGGCTTTAGTGACTTTAAAAATGGCTTTTATTATTGTGACATGAAATAAAATTGTTAAATGTTTTGTAAATGCACAATTATTGAGGAAACAATTAATAAATTATTGTTGGCTTGACATGAAATAAAATTGTTAAATGTTCTCTAAATGCACAATTATTAAGGAAACAATTAATAAACTATTGTTGGCTTTAGTATCTTTAAAAAATGGGTTTTATTAGTGTGACATGTGGTGATTAATTTTTAGCAATGTCAAGTTCTATGGTTCAAGTGTTTAATTGACTTTCGGGATCCCTTATTTTTTGTGTTAACAATGATTAATACTCTTTGGGAATGATTCACTTAACAATTTTCTAATTATCCTGATCCAAATGCAAAATAACCTTATACAATTTTCTAATTTACCCTTATGCATTTTATATAAGCGCCCTCATGCATTCTATATATTATTGTTCTCATGCATTCTATATATTTCATAACAGTTAACTTTTAACAAAAATTATAATTCCCTAATGATCCACATGAATTAAATAATAACAGAGATATATACTAATAAAGTCATACAACAAAAAACAATTAACACGGTGAATAAATGAGATTCCAATAAAGAGAATTCTAACCCGAAGTGAATTTTGAAATTTAGTGAGTGATGATAACGTGATAAATTGTGCATCACTCGATTTACGGATGGATCCACACAAGTTTTTTTCGCCTTGGCCTATACTTTTTTTAAAGCCATGTGGTGGTTGTATTTATTATACTCTCTAATGTAATATTGTTGCGCTCACATATATGAAATATTTTATTTATGTACACTTTAACTATTTCTCCAATACATCAACATTGTGTTAGTGTATATCAGGATTAACTTTTTATATATTTATATTGTAGTGAATTTTTTACACTAGCAACTTTAGATGTGTATTACATGCATATGATTTGAAATTCGAATTTGAAATTCATATTATATGGTATTAATATAAACTTGTTAATGTAAAAAAAAATTATATATTATCAGTGTATACAAAAATTATTCTATTTATTATACAACTTCAAAGTTCAACCAATACAACAATCAGGTGGAACCGCATCGGACCAAAGTACCATGGAACTGGCCCCAAGTCCAGTAAACAGTACAAGTCTTAATTGTGTTTTTGGGACAGGAGTCTCACTCACCAGAACTTCCAATGAGAAAAGCATAAGTAGAAGGGATATAATTTCAGAAACCTCCCCTGAGGTTTTTAATCATTTCACTCAACTCCCTTAAAATTTACATAATTACAGAAATCTCCCTTGATGTGATAAAAAGATAACAATGTCCTTTATTAAATGTTAACTCATTAAAAAACTTTATCAAATATTAAAACTCTCTCATCTATTATTAACCAATAATTCAAATTACAGTTTTTTCCATTTAGCTATCTATTATCTTCCACCTACATCTATTTTCATTTCAAACACATATATTTATTATTATCAATCAAATGTGTACTATCGCCACTAATAAAATCACCATACATACCAAAACACCAATACTTACATATCTTGGTATATATTTCCAATTCTCGATTTTTCATTATTATTAAATAGTTTCCTTGCGCCTATTTTTGTTCCCAATTTTGTATAGGCATTAGCAAATTGAAATTATCAAATGACAAAATTGAGTGCTAATTTCATTATCAAACTAGATGGAGATGAAGATAGTGACAGTGATAAAAAAAAATTAAGGATAGGAAGTGGAATAGGAACTAAATATAGATTGTACTATTATGGTTGCCATGAAAAAAAGTGTTCTTGGTATATATTTATAATTACATTGTGTTTCTATTTTTGATTTACAATTATTGATGTTATTCCTATAGAGAGAATTTGATTGATTTTGGACTCTATGCCAATGGAGTATATTGGATATTGATATTAGTAGTGATGGTTTAGATTTTTTTGTATTACAAAAAAGGTGGGAGCCATGAAATTGAAATTTAGGGATATTGATGAATATTGTTGTGTATTAAGTAAAATCTAATATTGATATGAGATTGTAGATAAGTTTTAAGTATCGGATGTAGCATTTATAGTTGATACAATGGTATGCATCAGAAATTTTTAGGTAAAAGAGAAATATTAGAACAAAGATAAGCATTTATTTAATGATAATTTGGATTTTGGTGGGTAGGTAATAATGATAACAAGTAAAGATAAATGAAATAGAGATTGTATACCTTTTTTTTTCCTTTACATTTTTGTTGTAAATTATAACTCAAAGGCATTATAGGAATTTTGAGAAAAAGTATAGCCTTTTGGGTCTAAAATGTTACTTAAATAGTGAAAGTAGGGAAGGCAGATCTAATTTTTAAAACTTGAGGGGAGGTTTCTGTAATTATTAAAAGCCTCAGGGGAGGTATGTGAAATAAACCCTAAATAGAACTTCCAATTTAGTAGTGACTGGATGGAAACAATTGTCACAGCCAAAGGGATACCAATACTGACTGGTTAGAGAAGCAAATTAGGTGATTTGGCTTTTATGATTCAGTGGAATAAAAACTGTTTTAACAAGTTTTTACGTGAGTGTATATGCAAATGCTCAGAATTTTGAGGCCTTACTTGCATATGATGGAAAGTGTATTATCCACTAGGGAAAGACAAATTTTACGCATTATTTTAGTGTATATTTTTAATTAATTTTTCATACACTGACAGCATGATAATTCATCTAAATTTAAATTTGAAACTATATGTTATTCAATTTAAAACCCATATAAGTATATGGCAATTTTACTTGTTTCTACTCTCCTTTTGCATATGTGATCCGCAACTCTCAAGCTCCGCTGGCTTCGAGTATCAAACCTCCCCTAGAAAAAGAATAACTTCTACTAACCATTTTTACTTCAAATTTGAGCATTGCTTACTGTTCTTTCTCAACACTTGTTCAAAAGACCCGGCCAATAGTCCTACATTATGAGGGAAAGAATTGTTGGATGCAAGGACAAGGACAGTTTCATGGATAATCTGCCACTAATCGTTCACTATTCAGTCCCATTTCACTAAAAGAAAAGTGAAAGGAAACGAAGCCAACTTGATGGAAAGATAGACAAGGTGGACAGTTCAATGCCTTTGGCTTGATTTTCCATATTGGACGATTAACATTATGCAGAGCGATGACTTAAAAGTTCAGCTCTTTGCCAAATAGAGGAAAGTTAAGATTTTTTTTTTCCAAATTTTTTTTTCTTACAAAGGAGAAGTGAGATTTAAAAATTAGAAATGAAAAAGAAAATTTGAATTCAAAACCTCTAAGTAGCCTTAATGATAAGGCGCTAGACCAATTTCTCTTTGCTCAGAGGAAAGTTGAGGAGAAGTTAAGGAAAATAAAAAAAATATTGTCTAATTTACATTTGCCTACCAAGATAAAGAATTGAGAGAAAATGGAATGTTAATCATATTTAATGTAAGTTATTAAATTTTGGGTTAATTACATCACCCCCTCTAAGGTAACCCTGTGGTTTGACCAAATTATAATTGTCCTTCATGAGTGATGGCGTCCAAACCCAAATAATGA